TGTCTAGGATATCAATCTTTATGCATTCCATTTCATTTTTGACAACTTCCAATTTTCCTAGATTCATACTTCATACATTCCATGTTCCAATTATTTAATGGATGGTTGCATCTGTTTCTACTCATTTTGAGTCATCATCAGCCACATCAGCCAGTGGAGGTCCCGAATGCTTTACTCCATCCGTATCATTGAGGTTGTCTCTACTCTGAGGAGTCAGCTCTTCCCCAGTCATCTTTTGAGTGCCTTCAGACCTGATGGGCTCATCTTCTGGCACTACATCGGACAATATTTCTGGGGTATTCATAAAGTTTTACAGTAATATATCAGAGAGTGTTTCACTGCTATTCGTAAGATTTTCCTTGGCCAATTGTTTGCTAAGTGGATGTTCTTGTCCTTCTTCTGAGTCTGTCTTAGCCCAGAAGCTCCGCTGAAACCTGCCCATCATGGGTAACCCTTCTGGCATTTTGCAACGTGGTGCCATAGCTTCCAGCCTCATAGCAATATGCAACACCACAGGACAACAAACTGACAGAGAAGTTCATCTCCCTTAGCTGTTCCTAACCCCTCTGCACCTGCCTACCTCAGGCAATGATATTAAAATAGAGCCGCCCACAACAGAAAAGCAGCCCCCGAGCCCTGCCAGCCTACCTCAGGCCTCGGCCTTAATATAGAGCCACCTCTATGTAAAAAGCAGCCTCTAAACCCTAGGCTCACCTACCCCAGGTCTCAGACTTAATACAGAGCCACCTCCAAGCAAAAAGTAACTCCCAGCCCCGGGCCTGCCTATATATACCCTGGGAAAACCTATAGGGCAGTTGTACTCTGTCCTGTAGGGTCACTATGAGTCAGAATTGACTCAATGGCAGTGTGTACACCACTTAGTAGCTGTGTGCCATTGGATAAGTTATTTAATCTCTCTAGGTCTCAGTTTCCCCATCTGTAAAGTTGAGATAATACCATTACCTGTTGGAGATAATTCTCCATGATTCTCTTGTAATTCTGTGCATTTCACAACACAGACACTGACTGCCTTTATTTACCGACTATCTTTTCAATTCCTATAAGAATTGAACAGCTATAAGAAACAACTTTAGAAGACAGAGATTGTGTCTCCCTCCACAGCAAAAGGCAGGCACACTGCCGCCTATTGTGAAAGAGATGGGTTCCTTAAGCTTGAGGTTCTTCTCCTGTGCTGAAGCCCACTGCATGTGCAGGTGACACTTGGCTGTCTTCTTGTCGCCCCATGGGAACTGGGGATGAGGGAACTGGAGCAAACTGCTGTAAGTAATAAAGTCTTTCGTCCCTGATCCAGGCGTCTCATATCTTCTGCTAGCATCCCTGAAACTATGGCAGGCTACCTTGTTATCTTGCAAGTAGGGTAAAATCTCATACCCTTCACAATTCTTGACATAATTCTTGTAGGGTTGTTGTTAAAATTAAGTAAGATGATAAAGCTGCTCAGCACAGTGCCTGGTACATTAGCACATAATAAGTTCTCAATGCTTGTAAGCTCTAAGATGCTTTTTATATCTATCTGTCTCATTACAGGATACTGATGATACCTTTCCATTTTCTATGAATTCCTATGGACTTATTTCTGCTCAGTGGGTGTTCTTTAAATATTAAAAATTTTAGCAATTTCTAGGGAAAAGTTTCAATGCTATCTTTTTTCTTAGAATATGGAAAACTTACCTTCTTTCAGGATCAACTATCCAGTCTCCTTCCCATTCCCAGCCTTTTGGAGGCAAGAAGAACTCCCTCTTAAGCTTTATTTTTCCTGTGACATCAGAAAATTTATGACGACCCACTAATCCAGAAGTGCCCCATTTTCCAAACATGAGAGCTTGATTTTCATACTGTTGAAAAAATACATAAAACGGGAGAAACACTATCAGGGAGCAAGAAATGAAGCCAGTGCATAGATTTTTAAGTCCATCTAAGATTTAGGCCAGACAACCATAGAAAGCATTAAAGCTTTATACTCAGAAGTATGGACCTAACATAGACTGCATACTGATTATACAATTTTGCATAAATCAGCCACCTCTTCCCAAATCTCAGTGTTCCTATCTGTAAACTGGGGATGATACCACCTCCACAATGTTGTTCTGGAGCTCAAATGTGCAAATACTTATAAAAGTGCTTTGTGCACACCATGTTAATTGTTTCTATTACTATTTTTAATGGCTCCAAATAGTTCTTCAGACCCAGTATTTCAAAAGTCTACAAAAGTTTTTATGAATGTGCAGGCTTCTAAATACTTATTGTAAGCATACTGCTTAGAATCTGGGGGCATATTTTCCTTCAGAAACAATACCATAATTGATGGTATATTTCCCAGGCAGTTCACAAAGAACTCCACTGAAATGTGGAGGTCCTTTAGCTCCAAGTCTTATTAGACCTAAGAGTTCTGAGTCTTAATCTCTTCTAGGGGATAATGAGTAGACCAAGACCTTCTGGAAGTAGAATGGTGTATAAGGCATTCATTTCTAACTTAAATTTATAAATTTAGTATGATCTTCTCTTCACTGTCCAAAATTTCAAAGGGGACAACAAAACCTCAAGACCTTTTCCTATCCCTTTAGGTTAAGCTGCTTTGGGTGGGATTTGTGGTGGTGATGATGGTGGTTATTATTTTGGGATATGAATTTTTCCCCAAGGATGAAAAGTAAAAGTATTCCCCCAAAAGGAAAAGATAGCAATTCCAGTAAATGTACCATTTCAGCAAAGACGGTGAATGTTCCTTCCGCAAAGCTATTGAACTTCTTCTCGACAGCACTTAAGCCCAGCCAGATGTTGACACGCAATTCCGCAGGCACCTTTGGCCCACTGTTTTTTTCCTGTGGATACTGTGAGATGCACAGTAACAGGTCATCTTGGGCACAGCACAGACTGTGACGATAAGTTAAAGCCAAAAGCAAATGGAAAATCTAAGCATTGCTCTCACCAGTCTAATTCTCTGTTTTCTTACTTAAAAAATTTCCAAATGACCCTACAGCAAAAATTAAACTAACAACTAAAGCAGAGGTTCTCAAAGTGTGGTCCATATATTGAGCCCTGTAAGCCCATGAAAACTTTTCAGGAGATCCACAAGGTCAAAAGTATTTTCATAATAATACTAAGATGTTACATGTCTTTTTCACAGCATTGCCATTTGCACTGTTGCTGCAAAGCAATGGTGGATGAAACTCCTGGCATCTTGGCAGTTTAATCAAGGCCCAAACCCACTGCCATCAAGTAGATTCTGACTCACAGTGACCCTGCAGGACAGAGCAGAATTGCCCAATAGACTTTCCGAGGCTGTATATCTTTACGGAGCAAACTGTCCCATCTTTCTCCTGTGAAGCAGCTGGTGCGTTCATAATGCCGACCTTTTGGTTAAGCAGCTAAATGCCTTAACCACCACACCACCAGAGCTCCTTTAATCAAGGGAAAATGGCACCAAATTGTACTAGTGGTAATTGTGTTCTTCACTCCAATGTACTCTCAGTAAAAACAAAACAAAGCAAAACAAAAACACAGTTTTACTTAAAGATGCTCTTGATAAAGCAGTAAAAGTCTTACTAAAGTTCAACCCTGAGTGCATGTCTTTTTAATATTTTGTCTGATTAAATGGGAAGTATGCCCAAAGCACTTCTGCATATCAGAGTATGAGGAGGTCTTGAGAAAATGCTCTTGTGCAATTGTTTAAGCTATGAACTGAATTAGGATTTTTTTTTTTTTGATTAATATCATTTTTACTTGAAACAGTAATTGACAGCAAACATGGTTATTCAGACTTGGGTGTGGGCCAGAATTTTCTTAAACATAACGTGAGCTTGTCACCTCAAGAAAAAGAACTGATTCTGTTTGTTGCCAGTGATAAAAAATTCAAGCTTTTATGTAAAAAATTGAATTTTGGAAAAGTTGCCACAGTGAGCCTGATAGCTTGCCAAGACATGAAGATGCTTCTGACAATGCAGGTGGTGATTTCAACAAATGGGATTTAAAACATTATATTGCATGATCACCTCTCAAGATTAAGCAGCTCTGTTTAACTCAGGGAACCTATGTTTTTCAAATGATCAATGCTTGATGTTCCAAAATAATGAATGGACAAAAGCCATTCAAAGTGCAAGACAGATCAATGGATCTTTTTTTTTAAATTGTGGTGACATAGCCCGATGGATTTTAACATAGCAGAAAGAAAACTTCAGTGGTATTGTTTCAGATTCCACATTGCAGTTAACTTTTTAAAACCTGTTGAGTTTGGTGTTGTAGCAAAGATAAATATCCATAATTATCTGACGAGGTTATTAAAATACTCTTCCCCGAAGTAGCTATGAAAGTCCAGTTATTTTCTGTTAAACCAGACATGAAAGAGTATGTAAAAATGTAAAACAGAATCACTCTGCTCAATGATTTTTAAAAAAGGAAATAGTTATATTTTATAAAATATGTTATTTATGATCATATGTAATGGGCTTATTATTATTAAAAAATAAATTAATAAAAAATTTAAAGTGTATTTATTTTAATTTCCATTGTAATGAATATTTATGGATATAATCTACATAAGCAAAAGTTCTCTGGGGTCATCAATAATTTTTTTATAGAATAAAGGGGTTCCAAGACCAAAAAGAGCTGTTGTTATGTGCCGTTGAGTCGGCCCAACTCATAGCGACCCCTCCTTGGGTTTCTGAGGCAGTATCACTACGGAAGTAGATTGCCCCATCTTTCTTCCGAGGAGTGGCTGGTGGACTAAAAAGTAATGGCTTTCCAATCTGAATGATGAGAGCATTAACAGAATGCAATACATAACTAAACAGAAAGCACTTTGCTTTTGACCCACTAATGTACCAAAACTGAACACAGAGAATATCACTTTAATCTTCTCTCCCACCCTCTGTGATGTTTTATTCATTAATCAGTTTGCTTCAATCCACTTTTGAGGTCCATTATAATTGTGGTTCTACCTTAAGTAAATTTTATTTCATCTAGAGATACTTGAAGGAGCTCTGGTGGCACAGTGGTTGAAAATTCAGCTGCTAATTGTGGTAAACTGTGGTGAATGACATGAGACAAAGTATATGTGAACTGCTGTATGGAAAGTGAATTTGCTCTGTAAATCTTCACCCAAATCACAATTAAAAAAAAAAAAAAGAAAGAAAATTCAGCTGCTAACCAAAAGATCGGCAGTTCAAACCCACAAGCCACTCCATGGAAGAAAGATAAGGGAGTCTGCTTCCATAAAGGTTTACAGCCTTGAAAACCCAATGAGGCAGTTCTACTCTGTCCTACAGAGTCACTATGAGTCAGAATTGACTCAATGGTAGTGGGTTTATGTATTAAAAGTGAGCAGATATCTCCTTGTTTTAAGAGATCACTCTGCCCTGATTCTGCCTTTTCTCAGCTCATTTTTTCTTTCTCTCTCCCAAATTGGAAGGATGTGTGAACTTGGTTGGGTTTCCCAGGGAGAGGGCTGTCAAATGCGCAGATGCAATGATACCAATTTCTTTTTTTCCAGCCCCAAGTCCTCCATTGGTTCTCCATAAGCACAGGTAAAGCAAAAGTTCTGAATAGAGGGTCCTGGGATGGATTGAAGGAGCTCTGGTAGCATAGTAGGTAAGGTATTGGCTGCTAATCGGAAGATCAGTGGTTAAAACCCACCAGCTGACCCATGGGAGGAAAGTGGGGCACTCTACTTCTGTAAAAATTTACATCCTCAGAAACCCAATGGGGGTTACTATGAGTCAAAATTGACTTGATGGAAGTGAGTTTGGGATGGATTTAGTGATTTGATGAAGCTCCTGAAACATATGCCAAAATTTAAATGCATGTGTGATGGCCAGTAGCTTTTACCAGGCACAAAAGGAGCCCATGGTTCTAAATATGTTCAGAACTTTTCAACTTGAGGACCCCTGTGGTTAGGGCAATAGATTCCATGGACTATCTATACTATCTTCTCTTTTGTCACTCCTTCTCGAACATTCACCAGAATGAAGGGGAAAAAGGTGCTACTTTGATTAAGACATTACAAGTAAGGGGAAAGTTCATGCTGGAAAGCACAACATTCACAATGCCAACTTAATATTAATGTCACAAAGACATCTACCAAGGTATCCTTGATTGAATACCAGTGGCCTCAGAATTCCTACCCTAGAAGGAGGGGCCAGAATGGACTAGAACTAACCATCATTATCTTAACCATTCAATGATTAGCAAATTACAAAGCAGCCCCTTCTCATGACTATGAGTTTTGCATTTAATTATTTCACATACACAGGTGAGGAAGACATGTACCTTCAGAAAGATGGTTTGGGTTTTCCCACAGTGTTTCCCAGATGCGTTCTCGCCACTAGTGGAATATAAAACCTGATGTGCGGGAACTCGTGCATAGGCCAGTCTTTTCTCTCCCCGGATCATCCAGATGATAATGTCTGGCATACTGTTTTGTGGCTGGTCACAGGAGTGGGCAGAAAAGGGAGAAAAGCAATGATTAGTCTAAATGCTGAGGGAGTAGAGACCCTGCAGGATGATCCAGGGCACTCAGGGCTCCTGTTAGCACAGAACACTGTGGATAGGGCTCTGCCCCCTAATTCCTGAGACTCACATCTTCTGGCACAACACTGGAAGCCCACAGGGCTGGGAGGCAGGCTACAACTAGACAAAGGGATAGAGCTAAGAAGAGGGCCACCTACACCTGCTAAAAGCTCTACCTCCTCAGCTCTGAGTAGGTATTTTAGGAAACACCCTTCTCCTATCTCACACACCAAGGAGCCCGGGTGGTGCAATGGTTAAGTGCTTAGCTGCTGACTGGAAGGTTGGCACTTCAAACCTACCCAGGGGTTCTGTGGTAGAAACACCTGGTGATTTGCTCCCATAAAGATGACAACCTACTCTATGAGGCAGTTCTACTCTGTCACATGGGTCACAGAGTTAAAAACTGACTAGATGGTACCCAACAACAGCTCATACAGCATTTGAAGAATGCCATCAGCAGCAATCAAAGGGTACAGGTTTCTTATATTTCACTGGACACAGGCAGAGCAGTTCTGTCTCAAAATCCAGGTCTTCTGATACCAACCAAAGAGGACATTTTAACTTCTCTGTATTATAATGATCCGCTACTTCACTCTTTAGTTGAAATATTTTCTGACAGTACCATGATAATGATAATGATTTTTTCCCTATGAAGACTATTCCAGGGCTACCAACTCAAAATTCCTCCCCTGCCCTGATTTCAATGACTTTCATCCCATTATATACTACCAACCCTCTAACTTTTTGACATCTTTATCCCTCAGAGCTGTTCAATATTCAATACAATTCAACCACCCCTTCCTTGGTGCCATTCAACAGAATCCTTCTTCAATATTTGGTGATGTTCATCTAGTTTAAAAGGCCCACCTCTTCAGTCAGCTGCATTAATTTATCAAGCCACTCCTCGACTTCAGCCAATGCAGACTTCACATCTATGTCTCCAGACCTCATCCTCACAGCTGCCTCGTGTATCTGAGAGAGAGATCTGGACCGCAACTTGTGGATCTGGGCATCAAGAATTGTGACATTAGGTTTTCCTTCCACAAGAGGCAACGTGTATCTAAAGAAGAAGAAACAGAAAATTTTGGGCTTCAGAACTGTCAAATTCACGTATGGTTGGTTTATATCTTGCAAATCACACCAATTTCCTAACTCTACAAGCCTGGTTTAGTCTGAAATTGACCAAATATGGTACTGGCAGACAGACCAGTCAAACAGAGTCTCCTAACTCTCACTTAGTCTCAAGTACTTTGGACATGCTATCAGGAGGGATCAGTCCCTGGAGAAGGATGCCATGCTTTGTAAGGTAAAGGGTCACCAAAAATGGGGAAGACCCTCCACGAGATGGACTGACACAGTGGCTACAAAAAATGGGCTCAAACATAACAACAATTATGAGGATGGGCAGGACCGGGCAGTGTTTTGTTCTGTTGTACGCAGGGTTGTTATGAGCCGAATCTCATAATAAGAACAACTCTCATGAGTCTTGGTGGCACAGTGGTTAAGCTTCAGCTACTACTTCAGCTACTAAATGGAAGGTCGGCAGTTCAAACACACTAGATGCTACACGGGAAAGAGATGTGGGAGTCTGATGTACAGCCTTGACAACCCTATGGTGAAGTTCTACTCTGTCCTATAAGGTCACTAAGAGTTGAAATTTACTTGATAGCAATGGCTTTGGTAACTCTCAAGAAGAATGCAAAAAAATGAAAAAAAAAAAAAAAAAAGAGGAATGCAAGGGGATTAAAATTCCAAGGCAATCCCTCGGGTTTGACCTAAAGCATGTGGAGTCACTGGAAAGAGTATGGAAACAGACACCGGCTGGGAGCAGTTGGACTCCCCTTCTTTTGCTTCTTTGAATCACTGTATACAACCACAAAATGATGGAGGCAGAAGGGAGATTTGAGATCATTAGTTGAAGGGTTGTTAACTTGAAGCCTGTGGACCCTAGGAAGTCCATAGGTAGACCTTAGGAAGTCTATGAATCCTTGGAATTTATTTAAAAAAAAAGTGTGTGCCAGTGTCGACATGCAGTGACAATGAAGAACACAGGTGTTTGGCCAACTATCTGGTTACAAATCCTGGCTCCCTCATTTACTAACTTTGTGATCTTGGGCAGTTAATTAATCTCATTTTCCTGTCCTCAAATTTGGGGTACTAATATCTACCTTTTAGGTCATTGTGAGAAGAAAATGAACAGATGGAGAGTATTTAGACCCCAGCCTATTGCTCAGTAAAATCTAAATAACATTGTCATCATCTTTATCTCATCATTTTCATCATGATCATTGTCATCATTTCATCAGAGTCTCAAAGGGGCCAAGGAGTTCAAAAAAAGATAAGAAACACTCATGTAGGCTAAGTTCCTATTCCCAATGAGAACTGGTCAGTCTAGTGATGGGACCACAGGGACTATGGAAAATAGTGGAGTGGGACCAGAGCCAGTCTTCAGCTGCCAGGGCTTCCCTCCATCATGGTAGCTGATGGGGGTTAGTGGAATTGTCACCAATACCAGAAAGTTCTACTCACATTCTTCCTACCTAGAACTTCTAGTTATTTGAATGTCACCCAGCTTCTTCAATGACAGGAATCCTAGCATTGAATTTCCTGCCACATAAAGCTAAAAAGATTCCACTTCAATTCCTTAAAAACAGTTCATATGACAACTGTAAACAGATATGTCTGTATTTTGCTTAGCAAATCATAAATTTCACAGACATTTTCTACATGAAAGTCATTATGAAATATTTTTGTTTGGTTACATTAATAACTTTGACAACACTTGGAGGATTAAGTGTCTGGAATGATTCTTTAAGGCAAAAATATTTACAGAAGCTGCTGGCCCAAAACTCACATGTAAGAGACTCTCAATAAGCAGACATTGATGTGAGAAATATGTAGCAAGAAGAGGAATTACACTGGTAAACCTGACTCTGGGCATCAGATATAACATTCACCTTATGGAGACTCTGTTCTCATGTATAAAATGAGGAGACTGTGAAGGATGACTGTTATGTTATGACTGAGGGCCCAGTTATAACATCCTTTGAGCTTAAAAAAGTTCCCAGCATATTTTAATTTCAGCTACATGTCAATTACCTGGTTCAGCCACTAGAAAGCACAAGAAGATAGGAAGATTTGGAACATTCACCCAGAAGCAAAAAAATGTCCCTGGTTCTTGCCATGAAAAATATTCAATATGCTCTTTTTTTTTTTGAACTTCCTTGTCCACTACTTTTTTAGCCAATATTTAAAATAAATTAATCATAAATGAATCACTTCCCTCTTTGATTTCCAAATGCCAAAAGATCTGAGCTGTTTCACCAAGTCATAATTATGAAAGGCCCTCTAGCTCAAGTCAAACCTACTGGTTTGTCCAGTCACAGTGTTCATTAGGCATTTAGTAAGAGAGGAAGTGGAAAGGCTATTTCTAAAAATTTGCTTATGAGTTAGGAATATTGTTCTGAAAGGCAAAATCTACGTTCCAGCCCTAGATCCCATTCTCTGTGGGAGCCAGGAATCACCTTTCTTTTGGTCTGGTGACTACAGTTGGATTGATGGGAAACAGAAGTAGAGACCTGGCCACCCCTTCTACAGGGTCCTTGCCAGGTGCTTCCTGGAGTGGGGCCAACCGTAGTCTCCTAGACTACTTTAAAATTGGCACCCAGTCAACAAGCAGAGCTTTTCCTGGTGGTGATTCAGAGACAATTCCTGGTTAAGGCTGTTAAGAAGCTTGAATGGTTCATATTCATTTTTCAGGCATACTATAAACAATTTTAGAGGATCTGATAGGTTAAGGGAGGAGAGTATGGCTAGGAGTTCTGAGATATAAGTAAGATCACTATACCTTGTGTCTTCTATAACTTCATCTATCAGCTTCCACCACAATTCGGCCAACTGGTTTGCAGGAATTTTACTTTGCATCCCTGATTTTAGAGTCTCAATGTTTGATTGCTGAAGAATTTAGAAGAGGAATTAACTGACCATTGTGCTTGCTCGCATTGTTCCATTTTAGTCAGAAAAGGTTTAACTTTTATTTTCAAGGAAAAATACATTAAAAGGTTAAATAGCAGAAAAATCAAAGGTTTTCGACATTTTAATAGCATTTACTATAGCTTAGTACTATTAATTTTTCTTCAAAATATAATTAACACTGATATCTTTAAGCAATAATAATAATAATAATAAAACAGCCTTTCCAATATAGTTTTGATCTTTGAAACCATGCAAAGATTTTTTTAAAAAGAAAATAAAATCAGCAATGTTGGGGGAAAGTAAACCTAAACTAGAATATAAATAGAAGCAAATGGACCTAACTTTTCAAATGAATATTCTAACTACCCTGAAACCAAGTAACTTTTGAATATACACATATTTTTGAATATACACTTTTGAATGACTACATATCTTGTCTGAGTTTAAAGGCAAAAAAAATCATAAACATATCAAACTCTAATCAATAGATTTGTTTTTCTCAGTAGTTTGTGGATTTCAGGATTGAACAAATGAGTAAATACGCTGAGGAAACGGAAGTCAGGTTTCTCAGTGTTGGAGAAGGGAGTTAAAAATACAAAAATGGGAGATGGGAGTTAAAAATACGAAAATGGGGAAGATTAGAATATCCAGTATTCTAAAAATATCCTACATTTGAGGAACACAATACCTTGGGTATTGGAGGTATCCTTATGAACTCATGACTTTTAGTATAACAATAGCTATCAAAATATAGATATGTGTGCATATGTGTAAATTTGCTGAGAAGGTCTAGAAGTAACGAAACTCCAGGAGTAGTGAACACACCTAGTACCCTGATCTTGTTTTTTAAATGTCATTTCCCATTAAAAGCAACCAGAGCTCCTTGGACTGCGATAGGGGAAGTATAAGATGTTGTGTCAAAAAAGCAAGGAAGGACTATAAAAAAGTTATGGAGATAAATCCAAAGGTAGAGAGCCAAATATGGAACAATTTGAATAAAAAGTAAATAGTGGTAATAGATTATAACCTATTTTTTTTCACTAATTTATTTTTGAATGTTTATTTTACTGACTAAAATAAAAATCAATGAGTCTATTTTAACATACAAAATATTATATGAATAAGAAGTGTAAAGAAGGCAGAGCTCTTCCTCACTGAGAAAATGCTGGCTAATAGATGTAGAAGGAACAATGGAGGATAACAATTACCATTTGCAACTGTCATAGTAATAATTGATTGTGACAAGAATCATCAATGGATAAAAACTAGTGGATGAAAACTTGAGGAACACTGTATTTTCCACAAATTATTTATTAATTATGAAAGAGAAAAAGAATAAAATGAAGAAACATGGACACCATCTTAACTAAGAAGTCAGAATTAACATCACTAACAAGGGGACCCAGAGACCTTTGGTGGCACAGTGTTTGCATGGTTGGCTGCTAATCTAAAGGTTGGTGGTTCAAACTCACCAGTGGCTTCATGGGAGAAAAGGACTGGCAGTCTGCTCCCATGAAGATTACAGCCTAGGAAACCCTATGGGCAGTTCTTCTCTGCCCTCTAGGGTTACTGTCAGTTGGAATAGACTTGACAGCACAACATGATTACAAGCAACAAAAACAAGGGGACAAGCACATCACGTGCTTCCTGCTCCATAGTTGTTTTGGGTGCCATCAAGTGGATTCTGACTCATAGCTGCTCCATAAGGTTTTCTAGGCTATAATCTATTTTGGGAGCAGATTGCAAGGTCTTTCTCCCATGGAGCCAAAGGGCAGGTTCAAACTACCAACCTTTCTGTTAGCAGTCAAGCACTTAACTGTAGTGGCCAACAGGGCTCTTTTTGTCTCCTGATATAATGCACAGAAAGGACACAGTGAAAGGAACACTATCCCTTCTGTGTTATTGATGCCAAAAATGTGTAAAGTAAATCTAATCAGGGAGAAACATCAGACACAAATTGAGGGGCAATCTACAAAATTACTGGCTGTATTTTTCTAGAAAAGCAAAGAAAGACTGAAGAACTGCCCTAGATTGAAGGAGAAGAAAGAAATATGACAATGAAATACAACGTGTGATTCTGGATTGTCTTCTGCACTGGTGACAGAAACCATAAAGGATACTATCGGAAAAATTTTCAAAAATTCAATAAGAATGGAGTTGTTATAGGGTATAAACATTACGTTTCTCGCTTTGAAAATTGTACTGTGATTACATAAGAGAAAGTCCTTATATATAGGGGTATACGGGGATATCAGAGCATGATATCTGCAGTTTACTCTCAAATGATCCTGAAAAAAATAACAGAATATACATACAAATGCACGTGTGTGTGTGTGTTTGTGTGGAGAGAGAAAGAAAGAGACAGAGAGAAAGGCAGAAAGAGAAAGCAAATGACAAACCAAATCAGAAAAGGTGAACAATTGGTGAATCTGGGTAAAGAATAAGCAGGGTTTCTTTAAGAAATTGCATCTGTTCTGTAACTTTAAAATTACATCAATTATAAAATCTTATTAGATATAGAAAAAAAAAAAAAACCCCAAGGTTAAAGTTAGTTAAAACATTAGTTTATTTCTTTTCTTAAAAAAGTCATAACCCCATCCTAACGCTGCAACCCAGCCAGCATTTATTTGCATAGCCCTGTGTAATAGCTAATAAAAAAAGAATTCTTTGAGCAATTCCCTTTCAATACTAGATTTATAATAGAAGCTCTCATAACAGACCTACCTGTAGCTAACTCATAGGGTTAACTGAATCCTATCACACACATGGATGGATGCCCATAGATGCTGCATGCTTGTGGACAGTACGTTAATCTCTTGACTGTCCATGCTGTTCTTTTCCTTCTATGAGTTATATGCTTAGGAATCAGTTGTGTTAGTTCCCAAACCTGTGCATGTTGTGTTTGTTATTGTTATCACGTAATTCAATTGAATATTACATAAGCCAACAAATTTAAGTATAAAAAGGAAATTATTTCTGGGAAAAAACTAAGTCAAATGCTTTGGGAAGACTCATAAAGATGGCAGACACTTTAAAAAACACTATTAAATTGGAGAAGTACAAGCCTACTGCAAATGATCATGAGGAAATCATAAAATCCAGGGCCTTTCCTGGAAAGGTACCTATGAAGCAATCTAAGTTCTGCCTCTACTTTAATGAAACCCAAACTGAAAATCGTACAAGTGAGCATTGCTTGTGCAACAAAGATAACAAAGAACTCAAAAACAACCAAAATCAATAATTAATTAACTTAAAAAGTAAAGACAGAAGAAAAAAGGTGGTGGCCCTGTGTTAAAAGACTGGTAAATGAATATACACTATATGCGCATATTTCTTTTTCGCATCTTGTTTCAGTTAACCCTCCAGCTCAAAACCAAAAACCAAACTCACTGCCATCGAGTCGATTCTGACTTACAGCAACCCCGATTGGGTTTCCGAGGCAGTAAAATTTTACAGAATTCCTTCTACACAACAGCTGGTAGGTTTGAACCACCGAGCTTCTCATCAGCAGTCAAATTCTGTAGGCACTGCACCACCAGAGCTCCTTACCCTCCAACTAAGGGCTCCCACCTTCCAGTTAATGAAGACGGTATGCTTTTTGTGTGTACTTTGAGTATCTGCAGTGGTTAATGCATTTGGCTGCTAACCAAAAGGTCTGTGGTTTGAACACACCAGCTGCTCCATGAAAGAGAGAGGAAGCAGTCTGCTTCTGTAAAGATTTGCAGCCTTGGAAACCCACTAGGGAATGCTATGAGTCTGAATCAACTCAATAGCAGTGAATTTGGTTTGGTTGAGCATCTGCAGGCAGAGAGGTTGAGCAGTGCCCACCAGGAGTATCAAAAGCCCTGATCATGGAAAGCTACCATCCTGCACAGATTCACATGGAATTAGAAGGCTGGTGGCTCAAACCCACCAGCCACTCCATGGAAGGAAGACTAGGCAATCTACTTCCACAAAGATTTACCACCACGGAAACCCAATGGGACTCTATGAGTCGGAATCCACTTGATGACAGTGAGCTTTTGGTTTTGGTTAATGGGCAGGACTGATGGGAAGAACCAGGATGCAAAAAACTGAAGAACACTCAAGACATAATTTGAATAGAGGTGTGATTAATTTTCACCAACTTCCCAGAGAAGAGGGATTGGTCATTGATAGAAATATACTAAATTATCAACTGCACTTAATTATGGGAACAGTTATGCTTAAACTAACTTAAGCCTACAATTCTTCTTCAATAATTCCTTACTTTGTCCTTTTTAACACAAAAGAGTATTTTTAGATTTTGCCACAGACTCTTATTCTGGATTCTGGCCAATGGAAAGTGAGTGGAAATAAAGTGTGTGACTTTGAGGTTTTTCTTAAAAGGAAATGCCTGTGCCATCTTCTCCCCTCTCTTTTCCCCATCCCTGAGGCTGGAGGGTGGATGTGGAGGTGAACTGTCTTCTACCACGCAAACCACAATCAGTCCTTGTTGAAGAGCAACAAGAGGAAAAGAGCCTGGGTCCTCCACGTGATGGCACCTGCCAACCACCCTTGGACTGCCCACTCTGACTGTTGCTAAAGAAACAGCTTTTATCTTGTTTACCATTGTATTTTGAGGATTTGTGTTATAGTGGCCTAATCTGCATCCTAACTAACATAATTCACTGCTTGGTGAAAGAAACTATAGAAAAGACAAACTTACCAGCCGTTCTGCCATAACTAGGAGAGTGTTCACTGCATCCAGGCGATGACTAATATCCTCCCAGTATGATGTCAGAGTAACAACGGGCTTCGTTTGGGCCCAAGATAAGTAGTAATAGAAGTTCCCTGGAGTAGAACATTAGGGTCAGTGAGCACACAGACATTTAAGATAAACAACACATTTATTAGAAAGCTGTGCTATCTGGGTTCCTGATTAATCCAAATGCCTGGGGAATGGTTGGCGTGGTCTGATTCTTTAATTTTAAAAAATTATGCAATTGAGGAAGAGATAGAAAGTTCTTTTTCATTGGGCCTGCTCTGAAAAATCTCTCTCAAATATCCTAGTAAACTGTGCATAACAATCTTAGGATCTTTAGTGATTCAGGGTTATGTATCTGAACATCAATGATGATTATACAACAGAGCAAAAGAGAGACCATAAGAAATGAAGAAAATTAGACAGAATGCATCTGTCTCTGAAAACTGTTATTCTAAATAAATATTTTTGTTAGACATGGGGTGAGAAAGTAATTTTTGGTTCTTTGAAAACTTTACCTGGCTACATGGTGTTTGTTATTGTTTAGGGCCCTATTGTGATTAAGAATTCATTTGGCTGCTAACCAGAAGGTCAACAGTTCAAACTCATCACTCCTTGGGAGAAAGATGAGGCAATCTACTTCTGTAAAGATTTACAGCCTTGGAAAATCCTATGGGGGTCACTATCTATGAGTCAAAATTGATTCAGTGGCAGTGGGTTTGGTTTGTGATTAAGAAGTAGCTGATGTTTTCTAGGATATTTTATATTTTTAAACTCCTTATATAAAAAGTATATAAAACTGTGAAGCGTTTGGATTAGAATTCCTTTCTCTTCTTTATCTTCTCAAACTATTTGCCAGTACCATTGTATGGGCTTTCTCATACGCTGCCTTCTTTCATGACTCATTTTATGTGTATAATCCAAGCTCCTTAAACACAGGAGCTTTGTTCATCTTTGTTCAAATGCAGTTATTTAATCCACATAGCAACTCTGGTGCTGGTGAGTAACAGAGCAAAGACCAGAGGCTTGATTTTCTGGTGCCTAAGTCTGAGTCCCACCTGCTACAACTACTCAACCTAAGAAAGACTTGGGGCCTGGTAGGGCAGAGGTGGGAAGGGACAGGAGCTGTTTCGGAAAGCTCAGTGTTCAGCAGTCACTACCGTGTGACTTCCTAAGGCAGAGTTGGTGTTAAAAATGAGGCCTGGGAGAAAGCCACTGGGGTTCAGCTCCTGGCACTAAGGCTTCCAACTGCTCAGGCTTGATCAATTTCAAAGGTGCCTGAACTCCAATCACATTCTCTTCCTTGTTCTGCCTTTTTCTTTCCACTAATCATATGCTGCAGTTACCAGGTGGTATCAAAGGCTAACAGGCTTGTCTGTTAACCAAAAAAGATGATTCAAGTTCACCAAGAAGTGCTTTGGAAGAAAGGTCAGGAGATCTACTTCCAAAAAATCAGCCATTGGAAACCCTGTGGAGCACAGTTTAGTCTGACACACATGGGGTCACTGTGAGTCAAAGTGGACTCGAGGGCAACTGTTTCTTTGGTTAATCACATGATGGGGATAGTGTATGTCAGAGGGCAAATAAGGTGCACCCTCTGTAAATGGGCAAAAAGGAGAAGAGTCAGGGCCAGTCTTACCATCAAATATGGCGCGGCTGTATTGAGTTGTTGATGCCAATGGCTTACAGGTTGTGTCAAACTTGTTGCCATAGTTTCCAATGCTAACTTCAAACTGAATGGCCTCGCCAACATCTTGTAACATGGTGGCTGAATGGAACACAGCAGAGAGGCTGTACTTCCTCCTTCGCTGGTATTTCTATAAAGTATAGCAAACATAAGGCTCAGCTGTAATTCCTTTAGACCTATGTACATGTGGTTTTCTAACAGATATTTTTCATGGTTTTCAAACAGATAAGCCATGGTGCAACACTTAAGTGATCAGTTGCTAGCCGAAATGTTGGTGGCTCAAACCCACCAGCCGCTCCATAGGAGAAAGAGGTGGCAGTCTGCTTCTGTAAAGAATTAGAGCCTTGGAAACCCTATGGGGCAGGTGCAAAACTTGTCTCTCCCCATCCAGAGCAAAGAAGAGTGAAGAAAATCCAAGATGCCTGGAAACAATTGGTCCAAAGGATTAATGGGCCATGTGAACCCCAGCCTCCATGGCTGTGAGAGCAGAAGAACTAAATGGTGGCTGGCTCCCCACGTCCACTGCTCTGAAAGGTATTACAATAGTGGGTCCTGGGAAGAGTGGGAGTAAAATGTGGAGTGGAACTCAAAATAATAATAATAAAAGACCAGGCTTACTGGTTTAACAGAGATAAGTGGAACTCCTGAGACTATAGCCCTTCAAGGCTAGAACTGAACTCACTCCTGTGGCTCAACTTTTCAGCCAAACAACAGAGAGGCCTATGAGGTGAACAGTAACACCAGAGAGGTATTCATTAGCGAAACAACCAACCATACCTCAGATCTAAAGGGCAGCATATGCCTAGGGATAAAGCTCAGAAGGAATGAAAGGAGACGAAAGCAAGACCATGGAAACAAACACAGGGAGGAAGTGGGAAGAGAGCTGTTACATTGTGGGGATTGCAACCAACCTCACAAAACGAAATGTGCATCAGTTGTAAAATGGAAAACTAATTTGCTCTGTAAACTTTCACCCAAATCAAAATAGAAAATTAAAGACAAAAAAGAAAGAAATCCTACAGTTTCTGCTCTGTCCTACAGGGTCACTATGAGTTGGAAGTGACTAGATGACAGTGGCTTTTGGGTTGGGTTTCTATCAGATATAATTCTAAACCTGAAAATTAGTGCTTAATTAAATACCAGTGGAGAATGGTCTTGAATCCGGCAAGTGGGCAAATATAGAAGTACTAGCATATGCATTGCAGCAGAAATAGAGAAAAAAAAAGAAAATAATACATCACTAGGCTACTGCTTAAACAAATTATGTGGGGCTTTATACTGGTTCATTCTAGTTTAGCCCCCTGCTGAGAACTTCCATTTCTACCCAATATACTGAATCAGAATCTACACTCTTATATATATATATTCCTATTAAGAGCTCTGGTAGCATAGTGCCTAAAGTACTTGACTGCTAACCAGAAGGCTGGCGGTTCAAACCCAGGCTGGCGGTTCAAACCCAGCAGCCACTCCTCGGAAGGAAGATGGGGCAATCAACTTCCATAGTGATACTGCCTCAGAAACCCAAGGAGGGGTCGCTATGAGTCGGGTCTGACTCTATGGCACATAACAACAACAACAACTATATATATAAATATATATATATATATATATATATATATATATATATATGAATCACCTGGGGATTTTTGTTCAAATGGAGATTCTGATTCGTTGTATCTAGGGTGGAAATGCAAGTTCTCAGCAAGAGCCAAACATGGAATAAACGTTTGGTCTGAAGCCCTGAAATTATGTTACATCCATATAATGGAACAAAAGTTCATAAAAAGACAGAAGTAGATCTATATGTACAAACATGGAAAAAAGTTTATTTTTAAAGTGAAGGAATTTTTTAATACTTGTATATACATTAAGAAAGTTTGGAAGACTATACACCAAATTATTAACAGTAATTATATTGAGAAAGATGAGAGAGTATGGTAAACTTTACTTTCTAACTCATACAGTTGTTTATTTTTTAATTCTTTAAGTTTTAATTTTCTAATCAGGAATAACAATAAAGACTTTTAATGTCATATTTTTAAGTAAGTGAAATTAAATGGATTTTTCTTTGAAATAAGAACCAAACATTGGGTTTTTTTTCCCTCTTCTTTCTTTCATTACTGGTTTCCTAAATCTGCATATGTGTGTGAGGGAGTTGAAGAAAGACCCCACCATGACCACAATGAATACTGATTCACCCAACAATAATGACCATGAGCCTTCAGACCTTCCCTCATGTGGGCATGTCAAGTCTCTTGAATTCACATCTTGCCCAAAGACCTTTCTGGACCACACATCTCCTCTGGTCTTCTGTTAAGTACCTCATTATGTCCTAGGTGTTTTTATGCTTGCCATTTAAAACTGTCCACATCCAAAGTCTGTTCCAGAATCCCATTAGTACCCAGTTTCTCTGTCTGCTAGCCCAGCCTGGGCAGTCGGACAACAGTGGTCACTACCGTGTTGCCACACTGGTTTTGTCGCCATTGGTAGACTTGTGAGACCCTTGAGTGATCTTTCTTGAATTACTCAAGAAATTTCTCACCATAGTAAATTTAGTTTGAAAGTCTAGAGAAGGAATTCTCAGCTTTGTAGTTCTTCAGTTTGAGCTTTGGAGGCCACATTGGGATCAAACTCTGGCATATGATGACTTTTTTGTTGCTGTATTTATTTTTTTCCATTGCTACCTGTTACCGATTTGTGTAACACAATCTAAGTAATAAAGTAGTGGCCACTTTTCACCTCTCCAAACCCAAACTCACTGACGTTGAGTCAATTTCGACTCATAGTGACCCCTCCTTGGATTTCCGAGGCAATATCACTACATAAGTAGATTGCCCCCTCTTCCTTCTGGTTTGCAGCCAAATGCTTTACGCACTACGCCACCAGAGCTCAAATTACTTGGTCCTTGTGGGATAGTTATTAACCAATTTTCCTTTTCCTCATTCCCCATCCGTACCATGGCCTTTATTCTATAAAATGAATCACAATCATGTGTGGGTCTCCTGGC